TATTTTGTTCCCTTGGTGAACCAATAGAGGCCCACTCACGTACACGATGTTTAACATTGGAGGAGAAAGATGCAGCTGAACTATATGTCTTGCTAAATTGCAAGGAGGTTGATGTTTGGGTAACGGAAGTTTTACTTCTTAGGAAAATAAGAACTACACAATGTTTAATAGCATATATGATTTTCATAACGTTTTAATTAATAGATAAATGTTATTTTACAGTAAATTTAAGGAAGAAGTTGGTGCAAATTTGTCACATGAACAACTATAAAGATTGCGAACAAATAATTTTGTTCAATGGTTTAAAAATATGATAATTAATTGTTATATATTATTTTCTCAAAATTTTAATTAAATATTAAATATTACTAAATTAATTTTTTTTTCAAATATAGGTGTTCAGTGGACAATATGAAATCAATGAACAACTTATCCACCTTGCAGTTGGCCCGATCTTTGAAGTGAATGTTTATAATGGGTTCTTTGTGAATGGCTTTAAAATTTTGACTGAAGAGTTTACTAGTACTAGAAAGACATATAACTGTGGTGTTTGTGTTAAAGGAACCACCATTAATTCTGCAGATGAAACTGATTATTATGGTTTGTTAAAAGAGGTGATCGAGTTATTGTATTATGGACACTCAGGCCATCAAGAGACTATAATATTGTTTAATTATGATTGGTATGACACGAACCGAGGAATATGTGTTAATGTTGAACACGGAATTGTTGATGTCAATCCAAGGTTTAAACTTTCAACGGGGGAGCCATTTTGCCTTGCTAGTCAAGCACAACAAGTTTATTATATTCCATATCCGGCAGCCACGGATAGAACTACTTGGGGATGGTTGGCAGCATGTAAAATCAAATCTAGACATGTAATTGAGACCTCATCTACCTCATCTTCAAGAGAGGTTGATGATATTTTTCAAGATGTTGACCCCTCCATAATGCAAGGCTCTTCATTAGCTATAGATTTAACTACATACCAATCACTTCAACTATCTGCAGAAGGTGTTACAGAAGTTGAGGTTGATGCTAATACATCTAAAGAAGAGGAGGACTATGGAGAAGAAAAAGATTCAGAATCCTCAGAAAATAGTGATAATGTTGAGGATGGTGGTGATAGCGATGATAGCGATGATAGTGATGATTAATTGAAACATCTGTATTATTACTTATTAAATATATGTATTAAAATTTTTTTGTCTTACATATATTGTTTTATCAAGTTATATATTTTTCATTTAAAATAGAAT